ATATATATATATATAACTATTTTAGTTTCGTTTTTCGAGGATTAATGTTATATCGATTGTATAATTATTATTTTCCATTTCTATATTGGCTCTAAAATTCTTCTGAATTCGATACATATATCGATTTTGTAATAATTGAAATTGCTGGATATTATGAATCTAGATTATTCTTAATTTTATAATTCACGATAGTTCCACTTTTAAATTAAATAAAATTGCCTCTTTTATCCGACATTAGACACCGTTAGAAAATTTTAAAATAGTTAAGGAATGATAATTACACTATTGACATAAAATCGATATAGAACCCATACAATATTGATTCGTCAGAATCAGAATCAAAATGACTTATTTAATGTTGATTTATAGTTAGAACCATAACATCATTTCGATTCTTCTAATTGTTTCACTCAGACCTGATATAACATTTGAGATATTTTATTTTCAGAATCATTTTAGTCCTTAACAAGTACGATATTAGTAAATAAATATCTGATTTATAGTGATAACTTAAAAGGTATTGATCAAGGCAAAAACAAAAATTGACATTTTAGAGAAAATCATCCAATTTTGTAATTTTTGTAGTTTAGACGAATTTATGACATAGTTTTAGTTATGCAGCATTACATTTTACATTACTTATACTTTTATAGTCCTACAGTTTTCACTGCATAATATAACTTCATAATCTTTATAAGCTTACGATACAGATGCATTAATAATGATTAACAAGTACGTTTTATAAATTAAATTCCTCGTTATAATTTTTTGTTTTTATAGTCCTGTATAATGTTTTGAAATGCATGCAATGTGGTAGTATTCGAAATGTCTAGTAATCTTCATAAGCGAAATTAAATTATTTCATACATATTTCATAAAAATAATCATTTAGACTTATCGTTAGTATACACGACAATATTAAAAAGATTTCAGTTATCAGTCATGCCACGTAATTATATTTTTTTAAATATGTAGATAGAAAGTTACTAAAGAAACGTTAAGAATGCTGATTTTTATCTCGCAAACGACGGTTGCTAAAGGAGCAATCCACTTGATTGTGGTGTCTTTCTTGCGTTTTCTTTATGTTATCAAACATAAATGGAGTCGAATCTAATGGAATTAATAGCTTGACCTTTTTCAATTCTGGAATATGGTCGTATTTCATATCTCAAGAATTCTGTTTCAAAATTCATCATTAATTTTAAAATCTCATTGAAATTTTTATATATGTAAAATATTTCAAACACAAAGTTGGTTCTTTAAAACATATTTCAACTGTATCTGTTATAGTTTTTTACATTACCCAAGGCATTCTTTTTACACGATTTTGTCTAACACGTGTTACTTACTTTTATTTGGTTTTCTAACGTGTTTCATTTGGTTACGTGAGTTTTTAAACACGTTTTATTCATATGCACATTTTTTTACTACCTTCTATACTTATTTTTACCTTGAAAACCAGGAAATCGATAAGCATTTCAAAAACGTTGTTATCAAAGGCACTTCTATATTCGAAATTGCATTTTCTATTGTTTGCTTTAGTTTAACACGAGTTTTGCCTTGGGTTATGAATCAATTGTTTCACAATATTTTTCAATGGTCTTTTTTCACAGTACGGATTTACCATGTAAAGAAAAGAATCAGGTATACCTATATTTTCGAGTATATTTAGTTGGCATGTGTTATTTTTATCAAATAAAACTGTAGTTCAGAAATCTAATGATTTTATAAGAATAATATTAACATAGATTAGAACTGATCAAATTATTATTCATTGTCCTTTATTCGATAATGAGGTTTAATATTTCATTATAGTTAATTTCTCTTGTTCATTTTTCCCTTACGGAACATTTTTCGCGAATATAGTTAACTATAATAATAATAAAAGTAAATTAAATAGTATTGTAATTATATTTTTATCTATTTTTAATATTCAACGTTATTGATTGGCATTAAAATATATAACAACGATTGCCAGGTGTTAATAAATATTCTTAGGAATAGTTAAATACGTAGCAGAATAAATGGAATTGACCACCGAAACCATAATCCATAAACCACCATCTTCATCCACTGATTAGCCGTAAATTTTCATGCTCAGTGTTCTACAGTTATTTGTTGTGCGACACATTAAAAAAATAAGTATTTGTATTAAAAATTATATAATAGATATAATAATTAAAATAAAATTTCATTATTGAAAAGAACAATAAAATTTTATCTACAAGTAAAATTTATTAAATAGAAATCCAGATATGATAGTTTGAATGAGAAAGTTATTTTATGAAATATCAGTAAAAACATTGATCATCTATATATTAATATTAAATCCGTGTCTTGCGAACTCTTATGAAATCTGCAGAAACACTGAGTATAACAGTACAACTTCTGCAGTATAACATACTTTCAACTCAAAATATTTTGAATACTTAAAATAAATTTTAAGACATGAACATTCTATGCCATGGAAACCTTAAAACTATTATTGTGTAGAAATTGGCATACATATAATTATATAAGTTACAAACAAATTGATTGCAAATAAATCCAGATTGTTTATTTTATTACCTTATATTATTGTATCAATGGAGCATTTTATACATACAATATACTAATATTGTTTTATTATATTTGGCTGTCAAAAGAGTTCGCAGAGTTTATGGTATTCATTGGACAAAAATTAATTTATTTCTTAATAAAAGAATAATTTATGAATAATAATTAGACAGTTGAAAGGTTTTAATAAACTTTCAATAAGAAGAGAGAAGACAGCACAAGTTCACGTTTTGACAGTGATCAGTGTAATTATTTCACGTCCACTTATACTCATTTAATCAATTTAAAACAGCAGAAAAATATGATTTTTAATTTGATTTTTAATAATCGTAATTTATGTCATCGTAGTTTCATGAAAATGGCTGTTGTGACAATCAGAAAAATAATAATGTGGAAGATATGTTAAACTTTGAATAGAATTTTAAATACAACAAATTTTAATTAGCAAATTTTTAATTTATTAAAAATTTCTAAATAACTGTCAATTCATTGCTCAATGAACAATCACGTATTTATTCCAGTTAACAAGAAAATTTATTCCTAGTACTCACTCTCAAGGCAGATTTATATAGTAATAATAGTGAAATAATGAAAGGTATATAAATTCATGTTTTGAACAAAAGTATGTAAATATATAGAGAAATTCACAATTATTACAGATCATAACTCCATTATCATAATACTTCGAGAAAAATGTCAAGGGAAAAAGATATTTGGTTCAAACAGACTCATTTTTGTGGAACATATTTTTTTTTTTTTTTATAATTGTAATATCGTGCATTTTTGTCTAAAATGCTTATCTATTAAATTTCGTAAAATTAAGTGACGATGTTGGTTAAATCATGTTTTCTATTATCCATTTCTTTTCTTTTATGTATTTCTTGTGCAAAAACTCCTTATATTTAAAGAATTGCTTAGAATCGTTTGTTTACTTTAAAAGAGATTTTACTGATTAACCATTATTCAAATGGAATCGTGTGCCTTTTTAATGTACGTTTGTGCTAGTTTCTTTTTAAACATACCGTTTAAGTAAAAATGCACCAGCTTTAATTAAATCTTTTGTTTTACTTAAGAAAATTTTCCTCAAATTAATGTGTAATCACTTTCTTACATTATCTATATATAAATAAAATTCGCTGATTACATTAATATCGTCCTCGATATTTGCAACTGTAAAAGCGTTTTGGATATTATATCAATCAATATAAATTTGCTTTATACGTGACCTTTATCCTTCCTGTCCACTTAAGCGATACATTATGTACATCCTGTTTTCTTTCTCGATTTGACATTATATTGCACCTTGATCTATGATAATTTCAGTTTATTCGGAGTACACTTTACAGATATGTTTTCTAAAAATAATTAAGTAATAGCACACCTACATAGTGGGAAGTTGCCAATACGGTTCTGTGATAATTTCCTTTGGGATTGATTATGGCAGGTTACACAAGTGTTCGTATAAAGCAAATATTCATAATGACAAACACACTTATCAAACTTAATCCTTTGGACTTGAAGATTTCTTCGTTGTGAAGATGCAATTCGAAGCTCTTCTTAGATTTTTAGAAGCTCACTGATACTCTTTATGTTAAAATTAAAAAAGGAAAATCGTGAATTTGCGTGAGAAACGAACAAATAGAGTAATTTTATTTCGATGTTCTTAATATACTTATCATCGTCCATTATTTAAGTTATAGCATTAAAACACGGTGACTGAGAGTCACCTCTCGAGTGCAAAGGGTTAATGTATGATCTTGCTGAATCTAACAGGTAAGGAGATCTATCATAAGGTGTTTAGAAGTTTGCATTCGAATTGAAGACCCACTTGGAACAATTTCTATGAAGAAGGTTGAACAATTGGTACAATATGAAAACGTACAAATACGAATTGGTACAATACGAAATACGAAAAACGAATCCGGAAACAAGGTTATATCGGATATATGTTTTTACGATCTTCTTGCTACCTTAGAGTACTAGAGATTTATTTCTGAATGTACGCCCATTTGTTTTGAAAGAACTTTACATTCATGGAAGTGGAAAAGTATTTGAATACGTAAAAGTAAGAAGATATCTGTATTCTTCTTGAGACAAAAGATGGTGAAACTAACTATTAACATAAACTTGCAAGGAAGTAATTCATGCTTTCTCAATTCTGCATTTATCGTTCGATTCTTTTAGAATGTTCCTTCTACATTTTCAATACTTGCATACGTTCTTCAATACATTCTTTATAAAGAAGAAAAGGAAAAAAGAAGGAAATAGAAATAAAGTGACCATAATGTTTGCCACTTATGTAACTTTTAGTTGAGCAACTGGTAGACAATTTTTTAACGAAAATTAACAAATTAAATGAAACTTAACAAAATTAATAAATTAACACAACGAATGAGCTAGCAACGTGAATAAATTGCGAACACTATAAATGATAAAATCACAGGAAAGGATCATAGAGTGTGTTTAAACAGAAAATCTGCTGGTTGAAGACGAAAAATTTACATGTTAAATATTGCTTTAAAAGATTATGAAAAATTACTTACAGTTAAATTAAATTCTAATGTATATAATTCAACTGCTGAACAAATTTCTTTATAAAATGATAGATATCTTTCTCTATCCCCAATATTTATGTATTTTATACATAATTTCGTTTCATATAAGAAATATCTTCGAATTGCCAAATGCCAGATTCAAGGAAGTACCCGTCCTTAAAAATGTACAACATAAACATGTGAAAATTTTCTGTACAATTAATAAGCCATGAAATATTTTTAAATTATAAATTGTAAATTGCTACATATGAAAAATTAAAATAATTAGTGCAGAGACAAGGAAGGTAGAAGAATACTCCTTTCCTCGAAATATAACTTGATTAACAGATTTATACGACTTTAGAATTCGCGAATTCGCAGTCACCGTAATTATTTAGTGTTAATTAGTATTTATCATATTATTAAATAAAATATTTCGGTTCGTCCACTAGGAGCAGTATAATTAAAATTGATTATAATGAATACTTCACGGTAACGAACTCAATAAACGATAAATCACCATATTTCTTCCCGATAAAAGAGATTAAAATTCGTTGATAAGATCATACGTTTACGATTATAATTAATTTGGATACAAATCGAGCTACTATAACTTAGATAGGTAGACGTAGACGCAATATCTTTAAACGTTATTCGCAATTTAAGAGGACATTAAAGAAAGAATGGATTTTAATAGAACAACGATACTACTTGTACAAAAAAGAAATGTTATATGATTGTACAAGATATTATTTGTGAAAGTTGTATCCTGACAAAAATGTTTACTAAATTTCAACATCTCTTATCAACGAAACAAGAAATAAGCAAAATGTGAGCAACATGTATAACGGGTTAAATGTGGACCATATGTGTACAGTTTATCTCTTTGGAAACAATTCAACAGAATTCACGTGTGAATTCCTTTTAATCGTGAAACTTTCGAATAAAATACAATTTCCCGTATCGAGACAAAATAAGAATTTTAAAAATTGTATTTTTGTCACTAAAAATGTTGACTTAAACGTTCTTCGTCTTTGAACATCGAACTAGAATTCTATTCGTCCACTTTATTCCTTCGTTTACTTCATTAACACGAGTCGAATTAACTGCTTCTGCACCGTTTAGGTTTCCAGCTAAGGAAACGCTTAAAATTGCTATTTAAATTCTTATAATTAGTAAGATGTCATTCTCAAAAATATTCGATGCTTTATGAATATTTTTAAGACATAGCTAAGAGATACATTTAAGTATTTACCGTTTTATATTGAGGATAATGTTTCTCCAGATAAGAGACTGCGATGTGTGTCGCATTCATGTCTTCAGCTCCTGTGCTCGATTCGCTTCTAGGTCTCCTACAATCCTCCATGTCCAACGCTTCATCGCTAATTACAAAGAAAAGAAATAATATGTAGAAAGAACGAATAACATCGATTCAAGTTTCATAATTAACCTTACAATTAGTCGATTAGTTATAATAAGCATATTAAATGATTTTGATAATTATTTTAATTATAGAGCATACCGATTTCGATGATTTTCAAATACATATGTTACATAGGACAAGATTTTGTATAACTTTATCTATAAATATAACTCGCATTTAGTTTAACTTTTCGTGATATTCATAAGAAATTTTCGGTACTATTTTATTCATTTCTGGCTATACAGGGTGTCCCGTCAACGATAGTACAATCGGGAAGGGGGTAATTCTACGCGCAAAAACGAATCGGAAGAAAAAGAATAAAATTGTTTGATTTGAAGCTTCGTTTTCGAGAAAATCGATTTTGAATATTCACCGTGTACACGTGTACTTAGCTATGGCTTACAATATCTCAAAAACTATCGAGTAGTGGCGGGTATAATGGTATATATTCTTGAACTGCATGACGAAATCTACAGACCTACAAAGTTTCAATTAAATCGGTGCACTCTCCTTGTTAGACCATGTATGGACCATCGATACATCAATATCGGTGGTATAACCGATTCTACAACGGGTGATTCTACACGAAAAAGTAAATCAAAAATAAGAATAAAATTTTTTCACTGAAAGCACCGTTGGCAAGAAAATCGACTTTAAATATCCACCGAATACACCGATATATTTATGGTTTATCCGCCTTAGCTAAAGTTCAGTGCACGTGAATTCGGTGAATATTCAAAGTTAAATTTCTTCAAAACGAAGCTTCGAATCAAGAAATTCTACTCCTTTTTTTTTTTTTTTTAATAAAATCATCCCTATCCCGGTTGTATTACCTTTACTGCGACACCCTGTATATCTACACTCGTAATATCGTATGTGTCAGAATGTGTCAGTATACGATAAAATAACGGCATATACGGTAAAATATAGAGAAATTGTTATAAATTCGATATTATAATATGAGAGAAATATTATGCGATAGAAATACTATTTTTGTAGAACGATGAAAATTTTCAAAAGCCGATTACGAGTATAAAAACGATATATAAAGAGTACTCGTTTAAACTGTATTCAAGAGTACTCGATTTATATACATATATCCTGAATATTGCCATGTTATCATTAATGGTAATTTGTGAAAGAATTTCGTGTAGTTATGGTTGACATAGATTTTTAATATATATATATTGATGTAAAAATAAATGATATCTGTAAGAAAGAAAGAGTGGATCATGTATGCATGTAATAAATGAAGTGTGGTATAGACTGTGTATATTTATGTGATGTATGAAAGGAAAGTGTAGTGTCCTATGTAACGAATCTCTTCGATTTCCAAGAATGATTATCACGCGCCAAATTAATATTGCGTGATTAGTTTTGTAATATTAAGAATCCCGAGTGTGATGTTAAAATGGAGTGTTTATTTACAGTAAAAGTATACAATAGTGTAGGAATGGAGAGCGTGGTCGGTCTTATGTGCAGTAAACGATGGCTCGCGGAATATTCCGCGCTTGGTGATAGTAGACAGTCGTGGGATCGCGGAATATTCCGCGCTTGGTGACAGTAGAGTATCGCGGGCTCGCGGAATATTCCGCGCTTGGTGATAGTAGACAGTCGTGGGCTCGCGGAATATTCCGCGAGCCGTCGTTTACTGCGCATAAGACCGACTACGCTCATCATTCCTACAATAGTTGTAGTAAAGACGTTTATCGGAGTACCGTTTCGAACATTCGTTTATAAGTATATATACGATGTTTCAGTGATTGGTGTCGAAGACGAATTAACTAACTCAATTTTGGACTGTCTTGCGTCTCGTCGTGTCCTGTCCGGCGTTTTCTCCAGTTTGGTTGATTGATTAGGATAAATATTAGTGGAGGAAAAGTAAAGATTTTTAATTGGACAGAGGATGTGACGGAAGGACCTTTGACTAAGGAGTAGGAAACTGTCAAGGAGCCGATTTTCGATGGCCATTGACGTGATTTATAAATGATGTCCGTCCGTCGTCTTGATGGGTCTGTCGCATGTGGGACTAATCTGTCGTGTCTGGTAATTGTAAATTTCCTGAAGTTTCACATTTAGATACATGACTTAATTCGCTGAGAGGCAAATTCAAATTTGCAAATTTCAAATTCATTGAGAGGCCTTAATTTGGTAAGGCACGTCTAACCTTCGGCGTAACAGTCGTAATTCTAAATAATAAAGTCTTTAGAATTATCGAAAATTAAAGTAAGAGTTATGCTATGACCACGCTTTCTGGGACGGAATAGAAAGAAAATAAATGAGAGAATAGTTGAATAGGTTAGTTGCAATTCAGAATTGATTGAGAGTAAACGTATGTACGATTATCGTGAGAAGGAGTAAACACAATTAGATATATTTCGTCCATAATTTTTTACCCTGTCCTATAATGTTATTCAATAAATATTTAATATATTCATTTAAATATAATATCCGTTTAAAATTTTATATTTGACAAAAGTGGCTTTATCAAATCCCATGGAAATTTGTACTAAAATTTTAAGCAAGGGAGATAAGTAATATTTTTCCTACAGAGAAAGAGTTTGATAACTGGATGCAAAGAATGACGGAACTAAATATTGTGGTAATCCTAAGTACTGAAAATTTAAACCTCCTAACGTTTCGCATGTTAATATTCGTGAATCTGAATTTAAATTAAGTATTTTTGTATATCGTTGTATTGTTATTTATGTTTTATTAATTTTTTATTTATTTATATAACCTATATACAAGTTATTTATATAATAAATTTATATAATAATATTTGGCGAATAGAAATTTATGTAAAAAATTTTTGAAGACTTCAATTCTGAAAGTAAAATATTTTTCCTACGAATCAAAATCAGCATCTCAAGTTTTGAAATTTTCAAGTTTCAAGATATTCAGAAACTTACAAAGTTCTGGGTTTATTCTACCTGAATTTGAAGATTAGATTCCAACCCACTTCTACTTTTTCGTATAAAGAATTGTTGCGAAGAATTCAAAATCATTAAAATTTTATTTAAATATGACATTGTCTTTGTTTATCGTTTACACTTTTATTTATAATATATTGACCTTCGTTAAACAATTTCAATTTTATCTTACAGATGGTTTATATTTTCAATGATATATGAGATATTTCGACGTTTTCAGATACAAGAAAAATGAAAAATACTCTATGATACTAGTACGAATACGAATAACAAGAAAGAAAAAGAATGTTCTTTTAAATCGTACACGTTTTCGACTGACACCATATTTGGAGGATGCATGGGGAGTTTAACCTTCTATGGGCTCGTGTAACTTTCAAGTTACATGCTAATGTATGGGTATTTTATTAAATACTACATTCAACGTTATCGTCTTCAGCACTTCAGTTCGCGATTTTTCTTTCGATATATTTATAATTATTTTTACAATACCTCCCGTGGGTCCATTTTTTAAAATTCTAATTCTTTTTCACTTACCGGTTATTCGATCATGATAAGTTAGGTCCTCTATAGCCCCCTATGACCTTTTTTCCACAAGATGGCGTGGAAAATTATCTTGTCTATCTATTGCACATTATCTTGGCACGATAGTACAAACGTTAATTCAAACTTTCAATATGAATTCGTTATAATAAAATTGTAAAAATTGCTGAATTTATTGCTTGATATTTGTTGATTTTATGTTACATACAATTCTTATAGTCATGAAAAATATATATTTGGTCCATAGAGGGTTAAATACTAAATCTTTTATAATACTAAATGTTCATAATACTAATTACAACTTTTGATATTGTACATAAAAGTTTCTCAGTACAGACAAGTTCAAAATGACCGCTGTTGTTACAAAAGTAATCGTCACCTTATTTTTCGCGTCACTTTCTAAAATCTATCCGCTTTTTTATTTAGGTACTTTTGAATGCATGCGCGGAAGACAGGCTCTGTTTAATCCCCTGCAGCCACGCCCCAAAATTAATTCAAATTAATAAATAATTAAAATTAATTCAAATTTCGTTATCATTTAAAATTACATAAAATACTAGTTAATTTCAGATACCCTATAGAAATTCGTAAGCTCAGAATTGGAGATGTGTGCGATTTGTGGAAACACCCAAAAGGAATATTCTAACTGTCATACATTTAATTGTAAGACTTTTTTTTTCTTTCCTTTTTTTTTTACGATTTTGTAATTACTATGACAATTTTTTTAGATTTTAGCATAGTAGCAAGATTATGATGGATATCTATGATGGACGTTTCAAGAACCCATAGCTGAGAATTATAATTAGTTTATATTGCACACAAGAGTTCACTTTTTATATTTGTTTGAAAATCACTATATTCAACATATGTTCAACAATTACATAATATCTACATTTTGTTTAGTAATTATATAATGTACAGTAAATTCATAAATCAAGAATTCATTAATAATTAATAATTAATAATAACTTAATCTTTTTGCGTAAATTTATACTGTAACACAAATTTGAAGTTACTATACTACTGACATTACTATACCAATTACATGATGAGATATACCGTAATTGTATACACGGTTTTTATGACAACGATATTTAAAATGCTTCTGTATACAGATTAATACATGCAAAATACTATACAGCGATTTGAAATACGAGATTTACCTGACAAGCACCGAATACTAAATGTAAAGAAAGAAAAGAAAACAAAACATATTGAAAGTATAAAGAAACATACGTACAGGTTCAAGTTAGAAGAACCGTATTTGCACCATATTTGCTTATAATTTCCTGCATGTGAAAAATTGGTAGCAAATGAATATAAAATACAGAAGGAACGAACAGAAGAAATACATTCACAGTTCCTTGGTTCCCTCCGAAAAATTCTCTTTGAAACTTTACTCTCTTTCGATGACAACTTTAACTTTGTAAAAAGTCAAAAGTCACAGGGAGCGAAATTTGAGCTGGACGAAGCTGTACGAGATCTA